CCAGGAGCTGCGCCAGGAGTGGCTCGGAGAGGTCAAGTACATGGCCGACCGCATCATCGGCATGCGCAAGCAGCTGCGCGGCCGTCTGGAGGAGCTCGGGTCGAAGAAGCCGTGGACCACATTACTGACCAAATCGGCATGTTCTGCTACACGGGTCTCAAGCCCGAGCAGGTCGACCGTCTGGCCCAGGAATTCCATGTGTACCTGACCCGCGATGGCCGCGTGTCGATGGCTGGCATCTCGAGCGGCAACGTCAACTATCTGGCCGAGTCCATCCATGCGGTCACCAAGGACTAAGCCAAAGTTTTCTTGTTCCTATTCCCCATTTTCACCTTCCGTTTCTTCAACAAAAAGCCCTGTTAGACAGCTGTTTGCATATGCGGGGGATGGCTGGCACGGGTACTTGCTGTAGAAGACAGTGCGCTCTGTGGCTCCCTGTGGCTCTAGAATTGAGATGATGGATTGCTGGAAAGCGAGCCCAGGCTGATCCTCACTCTTTTTGCTCAACCATGAACATGGCGGACATTGGAGCATGTTCACAATCCCTTTTACCTACAAAGACAAATATGTATCGTACATCCTATGCAGCAAGGGCGCATGGCAGGACAAAAGGACGGCTCCCACGGCGCACTTATTTCTTTTTTTCGCGGCCATAGGTTTGGGCACTATCCTTCTTGGGCATTTTGCACACTCTTGGTCTTTTCGGATATATGCCTCACCCAGCTGGAATGACTCGGGGACGACAGAGTCCTCCTCCAGCACTACAAACCAAGTATAAATGCGAGCGTGGCCGCCACAGAAGCACATTGCAGCCACTCTGTTTCAATTCAGCCTCTCCAGCAACTTCCCACTCATGCCCAACCTCGACCTTAACCAGCTGCCCGCTCCCATTCTCGTTAACATATTTGCCACTCTATGTCGAGATATACTTTCACAAATATGCTCTTATTTCTAACTATTGGGAGGTAATGGACATAGCCACCGTATGCCGTCTCTGGAATTACTACATCCCGTCATTCACATATCGCTCAATTTTCGTACAACGGAAGATATCGAAACACTATTCTGAGCAGCACCGAAAGGAAGTCGAGAAGGTAGTGTGGTTCTCCAATATCAGCTCCATCACGTACCAGCAAAAGCGGCGCTATGCGACTGATCTATGTGTGGTCATGAAATGATGATTATACTGGCCCTCTCCTGCTCCCAGACGCACTCACCTCCTTTGGCCTCATATACCCAACCTTCAGCCATTTGGAAAAGCTTCACTTTTTTGGCAGAGGCATCCTTAGGTCTGGAACCGACGAGCGTACCCCTGACATAGTGGGAGATGCAGTGGCGTTTTGCAAACTTTCTTTATTTTCACTTTCGCAACCTGACTAGAATTAAGCTAACCCAACAATCATTCTCCCCGCGGACCACACTACTGAAGAACAAAACGTACCAGCTGTCCCAACATCACCTGTGTTTACTCTCTCCCCATGCTACCCTTTGTTGTTCCAGTTCTATTTCGAACACCTTCCCTATTTTTATTGCGTGAAGCCAGTATCTTTGTTCATTCACCAGCCGGTAACACTATATATAACTACCCTAGTGTTAGACTTGCGCTGCATAAACCGGCCCGAGAATTTGTTTTTTTCCGACTTCAATGCTCTGGAGACGATTAGATTCCTCAACATACATGAGCAAGTTCCACTTTTTGGTCTTTTGCCTTATTCCGCTGAGAGACCGGTTCTCCCCAATTTGAAGATTCTCCAGCTTGAATTTAAAGAGATACACGGTGCGCAGCAGCGAACTTTGGTGCAGCCTGTGTCGCTTTTACATTCGTGCCCCGAAACTCTCAGAGCTGCTCATTAGTCGGTCCACCAGGATTTACCAGGATCTGTATTCGTCATTCAGGGACGCTCCACTAAGGACACTGTCTATTAATGAAGATCAGCGCACGCTCCTTCATATTGACACAGGAATCATCCGCAGCATCGACTGCCTACACCTGGAAACAATTAAACCTGACGAAGGCAGCTGGTGGGATGACCCTATACACTATGTAACCCGCTTTTATTCTACAGAGTCTGCTGTACGCCGTGCTCATCTGGGCATAACTTTGCCTTTCCCAACCCACATTTGCTGGTACAATTTGGTGTCTCTATCGCTAACTACAGATGTGGCAACCGTGACCCTAATTGTTCGTCTACTGAAGCAGCTAATTATTCTGAAGTACCTCCGGATCATGTGTATAACAATGAACCCACATGATTCTGACGTGTATTTCTGGGGCTCAAACGACCGAGAGGCTGATATCTGTGCTGCCACTGAGCCAACTGTTGTCGATTCTGCGCGCTTGGATGGCCCACCGGATACGGGAAGCATCGAAGCCATCACCCACAGTCTGCAAGTCTTTGCTATTGACACTCCAAATCATTTTGACGATGAGTCTGTATTGAAATTAACTCTTTTCTTGCCATCACTTCAGACACTTTTCGTTGCCGCTGAATATTTGGATAAAGTTGGAAGGACCATGAGCATAATCAACCCAGGTGTTTCTGTATCTAACATTAGACAGGCTGACCGCTATTTTAATATTGATTTTAACGAATAAACTGCTTCGCCCATGCCACTTGCCTTACATATGCTTTAGTTGTTATTATCATTCTCATTAGCGGCATGCATGTATCCCCTGAAATGAATGTTGCAGTATGCATATCAGCTTAGCCAATTCTGTAGATCGGACATTAGAAAAGTCTGTATTTGGATCTGTTGTTCTGTGGGGACCCAAGAGCTACATTGGCTCGAAAGTTCGCTACCCTTCTGAGTGTGGTTCCAAATTCACAGGATTTCAGGGACCCATGGACCAAATCCCCTTGGCTACAATGGCTGTTCATACTATTTCAGGATGGCAATAGCAATTCTTTATCCATGGAATTGGTTGTGTCAAGTGGATATCGTAATGTTGTGTCTGGTGAAGATGAGGCTATATACCAACATCTGTCGTCTTCCCTTTATCCTTTTATTACTGTGTCTCTTTATGTAAAGCGCATGTACTAATGACAAAATTACTAAACGCAGACCAGTTACTCATACAACTGTTGGTGTTGTTGGAAAACGTATATTGGCATACAGTAATATCCTCTCAAGAGAGCTCTGCTGTTACTCAGCACTGTGCAACCACATTTGCACAGCCAATATTCTAGTCTCCTTACATGTATATAATCTACGAGTACGATTAGCAATACGCTGTTTGACTAGTCATTTTCTATCCACGAAGTAAGTGGTGCTTATCTCCACCAACTGATGCTGCATGCACTCAGGATTGAAGCCCGACCTTCAACTGCGCAGCCTGCCTTGTAGGTTATAGTACATTGGTTATCTTCTGCTGCTCTCCAGAGTTGAATATGATCGATTCCTGGGTGGAGAATGATTTTGTGCGCTCAGGCCTTGTGGATAACGGTGATCTCTTCAGATTTACATTAAGGATTTGGTCATCATGAGCCATGGGTGTAGAAAACTCAATGCATCACAGCTATGATCCACGTGCCTGGCCACAATTGATGCCTTCTGCCGCAGCTGTAGTTGAGGTGATGTGAGCGACGCAGTGGGCACTCAGCTCTCATCTCCCTTCCCTTCGTTGAAAATATTTTGCACATCATACCCTTCGCACGAAACTCTTTGACCAGCAGGCAGCTTTTCATTCTTCTTTCAAACGTTTAAACGCGTAGACGTGTAGCACCACTATGAGCCACGTTCCGCCGCATATCATCGAAGGTATCATTTCGTACACGGTCAAGAGGGACAGGCTGTCCCCAGGGCTTCAGAGCACAATCTGGCTGCGTGCTATTCCCGCTGATAGGTGTTTGTCGAGAGTGGAGATATGTTGCCAAACGGTTCCTAGGCGAGTCCGCCAGCATCTTCATCAACCCACGTAAGCTGACCCTTAAGGACAAATCAGAATATGTGCATACACTCGAAGATATTATTGCGTTCGGGCTCGAGCAGCGTGTTCGTCATTTACTGCTTGCTTGCCATATCGTGGATATCGCCGACGGAACTGCATACTCAGCAGTTGACTCTCTGTTTGCCCAGTGCAAAGGCAAGCTCAGGAATGTCCATGCAGTCACCCTCAGTATCTCTGTTGACCGCTCTCACTATCAGTATAACAGGTACGCATCTCGTCTGCCTAGGTTTAGCCCGCGGGCACTCGCCAGTCTAGAAAACGAGTTTTGTTTGAACGTCAGTCGTGTCAGTGAACTGCTCAGGGAGGCGATGCCAAACATTGTTTCGGTACTGTATTATGGTGACGAGAATTCCATGCTAAACAAATAGCGGATTAACACACATGCGCTGTCAGCATTTCTGGGCGCCGCGCCGTCAGCCCAGTATTTGAGTATTCATTGCGGTGAGTTTTCGTATGCAGCTTTGGAAAGTTCGCTGGCACCCAATGTCAAGCAAATGCACGTTTATTTGAGCGACGATGGCAGTAGCGGCAGTGCTGACCTGGTTATACGCTATGCGGACCATGTGGAGACACTATCCGTAGATATCACTGAGTACGAGTCGTTCAGAAAACTGTTCAAGAGGCTAACAGGCGGGCTGCCTGTTGTATATTCACAGCTGCGCACGTTCAAGACATCGTCTTACATTTGTGGGATACGCAATGACAACAGCTACACACTCCAGGCTAACCCTTTCCCGGAGCTGCGGCGACTCGTATGCAAGGAGATATATCCATTCCCCACCAGCCTTGTGCTTCTATGGATCCAGCCTACGGTAGAGGTGGTGAAGGTGACCCTGTATGGCGAGGTGTATGAAAGGTTTGCCAGAGATGGCGTGTTCTCTGCTGGCTCGTTCCCAAATCTGCGCTATATGGATCTGACATGGGATGTAACTGAAAATGAGCATTTGTATGTTGACCCAATATGCGATCTCAGGCGCTTACTGTCGCTCAGTCCGGTTCTCGAAAAAGGCATTTTCAAAGTACGCGTCGCTCGTCCCAATCGGACAATGACCGCCTTGTATAAATGCGGGTATGAAGTGGACTTGAACATAGCTGGCGTCGAGTTCACCATTGCCGAAGCAATCCGGTTGATCAGCAAGTTCCCTGGGCTGCAATCAATGGCAGTGATACTGAAAGACAATGGGGACGCTAACGAGCGAGGATGTATTTCTGATGCCGATATCGAGGTGTTCCAGCAAAAGAATGTGCCCCCAGTGAGTGCAAGGCTCACCAGATTGTGCGTCGCAGTTGTTAACTTTACCTCATGTTCATACACGGCACTGCACATCTTGCTGATGGCCAGTATCTTCAAGTCCATCAAGCGAATCGAGATTGACAGCGTTGGTAGTAAGCCCAACAGCGAAATTCTCGCAGCATTTGACAAGGCCAAAGAATGCAGATACTTTAACAGGGACGCGCAAGACCGAGTTCGATGCATGGAGGCTAGGCTGTCTGGGAACCGCATATACTTGGATTTCGAATTCGATGAGGCGAATCAGATATAGCTTGTGGCGTGAAGACTAGAATAGGAGTAAACACATCTAGCGTGTCCCGCTTTGAGTTTGTGTTCCAATATCAATTGTTTAATATCTGCAATGCGACTGTCGTTTTGCAGCGACCAGAAAGCCATATTGGCTCGAATGGCCACCACATTTCCGAGCGCTATCTCGGCGCATTATGCCAAGGGCATATAATTCACAGCCGGAGCACGTATCCAGAATTCACACATATCGCCTCTTGAGTGCTTTTCTATACGTTGAAACTGCAAAGCGTACGGAACGATCAATTAGATAAAACGCTTGCAGAAATGAGTCCTGCCATACACATAGTTCCTGCTGAGATACCAGCGTGTGAACTACGAGATGGAGTATGCCACAGTATACTCAACTCGCGCCTTCTTGGTCTTGTAGATGCTAAATGCATTTACTGTCTAACTGGTGTGCGGTCTGCAGACCTCTGTCTTTCGCAGCCCAGGTATATGAAGCAAGCATACCCTTAGCTCCATAGTCTATTTTGAGATAAAGCCCCAGTGCTGAATCTAAAGGAACCGACTGGAGAGTGGGTACCAGAGAGAGCAATAGGCCGGTTCTTTGTAGATGTCCCATCACTTGTCATTTTGCCTTCCTTACTCTCGCAATGAAAAGTCTCACCCATTCTGAAGGTATAGCTCAATAGGTCTTTTGCACAGGGAGAGTTTGTTGAAGTTAAACGCAGGAGATGAAAGTGGGCAATAGTGGATTTGTTTAAATAGCAAGCCATCTCAGATTCATAATCCCTCCTGCCTCTCCTTTCTCCACAACTTCATCCCTTGACAGTTTTTGCGCACTCAACCAACCAAATCACTCTGTTCTTTGCCAAAAGCTGAACATTCAACATGGCGACTATTATTGACATGGCTACACGGCCAGGGGTTTTCCTCGTAATTAGCTTTAGCGATTCGTACCAGCGGTTTTTGCTCTCAATTCATTGTCCAAAGCTTCAGAAACGCATATTCTATGTGCCCGCAACAATGGAAGAGTTTGGGAAGACCATTGTCACAGACTGTGAGCATTGGCATACCCCCAGTGTGATCTATGCCCGGTATTACGAGGCCATCGAGGAAAACCAAATAATGGAAGCAGTGAGAATGGCACCAGCTACAAACTTCTTCAGCCCGTTTGAGTATTTTGCCTGTGTGTTCAACGACATCAAGTACGCATTCGACGTGGAAAAGTGCGAGATGGCGGCCAAGCGAGCACTGATGCGCAGAAAAAAACAAGGAGAGCATTCTGTTTGAAATCTACTATAGTAGTGATGATGACCCAGTCGAGTTTCACTATGCGCAAGAGCAATCAGCCTCAGCACAGTGGACTACAGCATTCTTCAAGGACCTGAAAAAGCCAAGCATTTGCTTAAAGAAGACCGGTGGCTTTGTGAAGAGGGGTATGAGCATGGTTATGAGCAAGCTCTGAACATGGCTCAGTTTGCCTATATTCTCGTCATAGAATGCATCAAGTTGTTTTACTAAGTTACACACAATTGCTGATGCAAAAAGCAAATCCATACATGAAAATACATGCAGACCTTCACAATGAATAGCATGCTGCTACGGCAGCATCAGACTGGCATTCTAAAAAAAAGTCTCCAGATCAAAAATAGATTCTACCTTGAAGTCAGAGCTAGCACTGGCTAATGCAAATGCCAAAGCATGCAAGTCATGGAAAATAAGACTGCTGTCGTCAACCAACAATCCAGGATATATAAAGGCGTGGTGCAGGGTCCGGGGTCCTAACTACCTTCTCACTACAACACCACTTTGCCCGGTATATTCACCCATTTTGCATATCTCGTTTCTGAAACAGCCCAATACTCAATCCCTGGACCAACAATGAGTTACGCACAAACCCTGCCATTCATCATCCTGGAGAGGATCGTCGACTATGTGCTAGAGTTTCATCCGCTCCCAGGCCTAGCCAGCTCAAGCAAATGCGACTTGTGTATAGCAGAATGGGCGCTGCCGGGCGTGTGCAAGCATTGGCGGAAGGTGTCACTCGCTCATCTGTACAAGTCTGTCAGTTGGAACACGATCAAGAATATTCGTGGAGGCTGCAAGACAAGCAGGTTCCTGTCCAACAAGTTCATGAATGCGATCAGGAATGAGGGAGCCGGAGTCGTGAAGAATTTTACTGTCGCATGCCGACGAGATATGATTCTTGATGGCTCGTATGTCAAGGAGCTAGGTATGCTGCCTAGCACCTGCAAGGTTTTGCCTGGGGTCAGTATCCTAGACCTCAGTATCCTGTCATCGTCAGATGAGACAGACATTGACTTGGATGAGTCCAAGGACAACATCTTGTCCTTTTGCGCAGCAATCAGAAGGATGTTTCCCAATGTGAGCAAGCTGAAGGTTACTGGTTCAACACGCCGTATCCAGCCAAAGGACGACGAGCTACTGGACACGATCACCTGTCGGCTTGTGAATCCAGATATCCCGGCTGCCTCAGCAGAAAGCCATGTCAAGTTCAGTCGGTCCTTTTCTAGTCTGCAGTATCTGAATGGCAGCATCAGTGGCCACAACTCGCCGATTATCGAACTCACCCGGAGACATGCGTCATCGCTGGAGTTCTTGGCGATCCGCACTGCCATACCGGAAGCGATTTCTCGGATTTGTTACCGCAGCAGTGGAGAGGGACTCGTGTATAGCAGATTAAAGGTCTTCTCCATTTTTCCTGGCGGCTCCGAGATTCACTTTGACACGAAGTACAAGTTTCAGGAAGTCAGACATGTACCATTCCCAGTACTCTGTACTGTCAACAGCATTAGCCCCTACCCGTTCGCTGGGGATGTGGTGTTCCGCGGCAACACAAAGAGTCTAAGCAAGTTCACAGTGCTGCTGACAAGGCACAACTTGGATACGTTCCTGACAAATGGCGTGCTTAAAAGAGAGCGTTTGATGGCCCTCGATGTCGCGGAGTACATGTACTTTGGACCAGCCACCGGCACAATGCCGATATCCGATATGCTGCGGGCCGCCCTCCCAGCTGAGAGCACCATGAAAATGTTCAAGTTCGATACGGTGCATCCGATCCGGTTTGAGTCTGTCTGGCCATCGCTAGAGACGATTGGAGCCAGAATGGAGTCACTCCGAATTCGTTCACTCGCTTGCACCCTTGAGCAGGTTATTTCGCTGGTTAATGTGCTGCCGCTGATCAAGACCCTCGAGTTCGAGTGTGTATCGACGCCAAGCCTAATGGGTACCGATAGACTGCATGATGGATGTGAAGGGGCGTGCAGGCTGGCTTCACATCCGGCCGAGCCCAGTGACAAGCCTAAGCATGTGAGGTTCATGGAGACACACCTAGACTGTATCTGCAACGACATGGCTGTGGCCGAGGTGCTGTATATGCAGCACTACCCGCTCTCTCTGTCGTTGAAGAACTTTTATGTGGGCACGCGTGGTTCTAACCTGATGCTCGCTAGCCGGATGGTGGTGCTTATGTCCCTGCTTTGTCCGCGCATCGGACTCTACGACCTGTGCGGCCAGCCGGCATATGATTCCCTGGTGCAGCGGCTCGAGCAGAGCCGGCTGGAGAGTACTCGGCAACGTGCGTCGCACGCCTGAGTGTGCGGCATTCTCCGCCGCTACTGCTTGCGGCAGGCGGTTCTTCTGGGAAGTAGCGACGATCGCACGCTCGACTGGCAGATCGTCCCTCGCTTTCGCCATCCCGTGCTCGTGTCTCAACTCCAGCCAATGGCGTGTTCCCAGCAGCCGCGAGAAAACCTGTACAACAGCTGGAAAGAGGGCCTGAGAGTGCAAGTGTGATCTCAGGAACAGGCAGAATAATGGCCCGACAGCAAAGCGGTTGGCGTCCTCCAGACTACCCGGGCTGGCGTTTCCACATCCTTCTCTTCTCCGCAACAATACAACTTTATCTGCTTTTCTTCCTCGTCTATAAACTCACTGCACTAGTGTCTTTATCTTTGCGTGTCGGTCTTATTCTCGCGATTGCTGCTGTATCCGGTTTAACTGAAACTTCAACCTTTAACAATTTCCCATCTGTATTCTTTCAATGTCGGACGATTTGTCTCCTGCTGCCCAGTTTGCTGCTGCTGCCGCTCAGGCCGAGGCTGAGGCCCAGGCGGTTGCTGAGGCTGCTGCTGCGGCTGCTGCTCCTGCGGTTGCTGACGATTCTGATTTCCCCGCTGTTCTCGAGAAGAAGGAGGAGGCTCCCAAGGAGTCTGCCGCCGAGGCTGCTGATGCCGAAATCGAAGCAGAGGCTGAGGCCGTTGTCGAGGTCGATGCTGTCGCTGAGGCCGTTGTCGAGTCGGTGCTTGCCGACGAAGAGGCGCCCGCTCCTCTAGAGGCTACTGCTTCTGAGGAGGTCGAGACGGTGACCGAGGCTGCAGCCAGCCTTGTGTCTGAGGCCGAGGACGACTCTGCTCCCTCTGCCGCCGCTGCATTCCTGAGCGCCGTGGACTCTGCGGCTGCCAGCACATCGGGTGATCTCGATGACAAGGACGACTTTGAGGTGGAACAGTCGGCAGCGCGTGTGCCACAGAAGAAGCAGCCGCTGGATCTGGCTAGCGAGGATCTGTTCCCGTCGCTCGGCGCGCCTGCCACCAAGAAGGCGCCTGCATGGGGAGCCAGATCTGCCGCTGGTCCTCAGTCGATTGCCGACAAGGTCAAGTCGCAGCGCACGACAGAGGTATTCGATCTGCCGCTGGTTATGGACTCGGTTGGTGACGTTGCGCGCAAGATCATGCAGCAGACCAAGACGCAAATCGAGATCTCGCACAACCGAGTTCTGAAGACGTCGACGTATCTGGTCAGCGGCAAGCCCGAGGACGTTGCGCGTGCCAAGCGTGAGATTTGCGCCAAACTGTCGCCCCAGATCACCAAGCTTATGCAGGCCCCTGCTAGCGTGCGGTCCCAGATCTTCGGTGTGCGCGGACGCACTCTGCAGGCTATTCAGACGCGCACTGGCACCCAGATCAAGATGACGTCGCGGCCAAGCATGGGCAGCAGCGACCTGTTCGACGTGGTCGACCTTGCCATCACCGGTGATTCGGTTGGTGTTGCCGCTGCTATTGCCGAAATCGACGCTATCGTCGACCAGAAGACGACCAAGCGTGCAGTGCGTCTCGGCAGCATCCCGCACGAGCTCAACGCACTGCTTGTTGGCAAGGAGGGCGCCACACTGGCTGCCCTGCAGGCGACACACAGCGACGTACACATCCGCATCCCTGGCCCAATTGAGGCCGACCAGACAATTGCGGTGTTTGGCGAGCGCGACGCAGTTCAGAGCGCTATCAAAGATATCGAGGAGACGGCTCGGCAGCTGCTGCAGTCGTCGCAGACGGTCACTGTGACTGTGCCCAAGCGCCAGCACCGGTTCATTGTCGGCGAGGGCGGTGCCACGCTGAAGGAGATTATCAACGCTACTGGCTGCGCTGTCCTGGTGCCGGCTCCCAGCAGCCCGTCGGACCAGGTCACAGTTCGTGGTGCGGAGTCGAACCTCGTGCAGGCTCTCGGCCTCGTCATGAGCAAGGCAAACTCTGTCACGATCGAGACGGTTGACCCGACCAGCATCCACGCCTACGAGCGGCCTCTGGTCTATACGCAGCGTGCCCTGCGGTACTTCCACGACCGCAACCGCTTCCGCCGCATTGAGAGCGAGAACGGTGTGACTCTGCGCATTCCCTCGCCGGCGACTGCCCAGCGTGCTACTGCGCCCGAGCAGGTGCAGATTGAGATCCAGGGCAAGGATGCCCGCTCTGTTGCTGCTGCCCGCCAGGCGCTGGTGTCGCTGTTCATGGCATTCCCGCCGTACCACTTCAACAGCATTGACGTTGAGCCGCACCTGCATTCGCTGCTGGCTGGTCGCGAGGGCGCAAATGTCGCACGTCTGCAGGCGTCGCGGTCGGTGTTTTGCACTGTTCCCGCAGGACCCCACGGCCCAGGACATCCTGGTTGTCTACGAGGGCTTCAACCCCGATGTGGACCATCTGGCAGACCGCGACCAGCGCGAGAAGGCCACTCGCGAGCTGCTGAAGAAGACTCTGGAGGAGTTCCGTCAGACGATCCAAAAGGACAGCACCTACAAGACCAGGGTGGTGGTTGTGCCAGCCAAGCTGCAGAGCACGTTCAGCAAGCCCACGATGCTCGAGGAGATCCTGGCTGCCGCCAAGGCCAACGAGGGCACGGCCCGTGTTGTGCTCGAGTTTGGTGCTCTGCCCAGCGCCCCTGAGGCCGAGAACACGCGTGTGACCCGCCGCAAGGACGAGGTGCAGGCCGGTGCTGAGGAGGTTGCTGTCAAGGGCCTGAATGCCAGCGTCAAGCGCGTGGTCAAGGAGCTCGAGAGGCGCGTCAAGGAGCAGGAGGAGTACACGCGTCTGCACTCGTTCCGCGACGAGTTCAACGTGCCTCAGCAGATCCTGCCGCGCATCATTGGCCGTGGTGGCGAGAACATCAAGCGCATCCGCTCGGAGCGCGATGTGCAGATTGACATCGCCGACAAGACTGCTCCGGGTGTTCCCGCGCTTGTCAAGCTGCAGGGAACCGCTGAGGACGTGGCTGCGGTGAAGGCCGAGATTCTCGAGTTCGCCGAGCGCCTTGCTGACCAGACCTCGGAGATCATCAGCGTTCCAGCCAACATCCACCGCTCGCTGATTGGCACTGGCGGACGCTACGTCAAGCGGCTCGAGGAGAAGTACGCTGTGCGTATCCAGTTCCCGTCGTCGCGCCGTGACAACGACGAGGAGCACGGGGCTCCCCTGGGCGCCGACCAGATCCGCATCCGTGGTGGTCGCAAGGGCGTCGAGAGCGCAAAGGGCGAGCTGCTTGAGCTGGCTGAGTACGAGGTCGAGCACAACCACACAATCACATTCAGCGTGCCTGCTACGTTCCTGCCCCACATTGTCGGCAAGGCGGGCTCGCACATCAACGAGATCAAGGACGAGAGCGAGACGCGCATCGACATCTCCGATGCTAAGGAGGGCGAGACGACGGTTGAGATCACCGTGGTTGGCACCAAGGGCGGTGTCAAGATGGCCCGGGAGGCCATTGAGGCCATTGTGGCCGAGCAGGAGTCGCAGATAGACATTGTGCTGGATGTGCCCTCTAAGCACCACCGCTTCCTGATTGGCGCGGGTGGCAGCCGTGTGCGCGAGCTGGTGACGCAGGCTGGCGGCGACCCCGAGGCCATGGCCGGCCCCAAGTCGTGCCGCGTGCAGTTCCCGCGTGCAGCCGAGAACACCGACCAGGTGAAGCTTAAGGGCGACAAGGAGATCGTGGACAAGGTCAAGCAGGCGATCGAGGAGCTGGTTGCGGAGCGCGAGCGCATGACCACCATCACCGTGTCCATCCCGGTGTCGCAGCACGCCTTCATCATCGGCCGTGGCGGTGCGCATCTGAAGCAGCTGCAGGATGAGCACAGCGTCGAGATCCACTTCCGCTCGAAGCAGCACGGCAAGAGCGCGGCTGGCGCCGAGGACCCCAGCCTCGTCAAGATCTCTGGTCTGCCCGAGAACTGCGAGGCCTGCAAGGTGGCCATGCTGGCTCTGGTGCGCGAGGAAGAGAAGATTACCGTGCCCCTGGCCGTGCACCAGCGTCTGGGTGGTCGCGGCGGCTCACTGTGGCGCCGCGTGCGCAACGAGTTTGATGTGCAGGTCGATGCTGTCCGCGTCGACAAAGCGCCTGCCTCCTCCAAGGCGCGCCGCATCGACGACGACGAGGAGAAGGACGTTGTGTTCCATGACCTGGGCGACGAGCTCAGCGGACTGACTGCCGAATGGGTGTGCCGCGGTGAGAAGGCCAAGCTGGCCGAAGCTATTGCGATGATCAACAAGTCGCTGGCTGGCGCTGACCTGGGTGTTGAGGCCGCCGTGCGTGTTGAGCCCCGCCTGCACCGCAGGATCATCGGCAAGCAGGGGTCGAACATTGCCAAGATCCGCGATGCCACGGGTTGCGAGGTCACCGTGCCCAAGCGTGGAGATGAGTCCGTCTGGGTTACCGTTACCGGTGAGCGTGCCGGTGTTGAGCGCGCTATCGAGATGATTCAGGAGGCCATCGATGACGAGTACTAAACACAAACTACATTTCTTTTTCGCGTATTTATTCTCGACAAATTTTGGATACATACAGGTTCATATCTTTCACCACATCACCCTCAGGCAGCAGATACGTGGCTAGCACATTTCTTGTGGACAGCGCCTGGACAATGGATTGGAGAATTATAACGGAACTAGTATGTCTCGTACAGACCAAAGCTCTGCCTCGGCAGCCTTGAGCGCCTCGTCGAGGTCGATGTGGAAGTTGGGATACTCGGTGCTGAGCACAGGAAGGTGCAGACCATCCACGCTCTCGGTGATGCCTTTCTTTTCGCTACCAGGCCCACGCTCCTCATCGTAAATAGACCTGAACGATGTGTCAGCATCCTGAGCCGAGCCACTGTTGGCAACACTGAAGATGGTGCGAGTGGCGATTTTCGAGGAGCCAAAGCCAGCAGCAATCAGAGACCGGCGGATCCACTGCGACTTGATACCGGCAAAGTGCCACGAGACGCTGCAGTCGGCATGGCGGTCGAGCTGCTGGCGGACATCGGTCAGGTTCTGCACCGAAGTGATATCCACGTTGGAGACACCAGAGAAGTCCAGAATGACAGCGCGCAGCTCGGGCTTCGACATGTCGATGTCGGACTCGGTCTTGTGGCGAGGTCCTGGGTCGTTCCAGGGCCGGTTTCCGAGAGAGCCGTACGGGTTGACCACCCCAGGCCGGGTCTCGAGAAGGATCTGCTCGACCATATGGTCAGTGAAATGCACAGCGTTGGGATACAGGTAGCTCTCGTTAAGCCGGTAGATGAAGATGCCGCTGGGCGGGGGCGTGGGCTTGACTGAGGGATTGGTGCCGTCCGAGTGGTCAAGCGACACAAAGGCATTGCGGGACTCAGGTCAACTTTTCGTTGCTGTCCTCGTTCAGCAGCTTCTGCTCGTAGACCTTGATCTTGCCGACAAACTTGCCCTGGGCCTTGGCGAATGCGGAACAGCAGCAGTGCAGCAGAGGCGGCGACAGAGGCATAGATGCCGTTGTCAATGCCTGAAAATACAGAGACAATGACGCCTATCCAGAAGATGAAAAACTCGATGGGCGAGATCTTCCAGAACTGCCTGAGGGCCTTGGGGCCCGAGATCAGGTCGCCGACAGCGTGGATAATGACAGCAGCCAGCAGGGCGTTGGGGATATAGAAGAAGACCGGGGGCAGGATATAGATGGCAAACACAACCATGACCGCAGTGATCACTCCAGCGAGCGGCGTGCGTACACCGGCTTTGGCCTTGATGGCGGTACGCGAGAACGAGCCGGTGGCCGGGTATGCGCCGAAGAACGGGCCACATATGTTAGTGATACCGATGGCAATCAGCTCCTGGTTCGGGTTGATGGTGTAGTTGTTGATGCGGCCAAACGACTTGGAAATCGAGATATGCTCAATGATCAGCACGATGATGGCTGCCGGAATATGGCCCGAGACAGCACTGAGAATGTCCGAGCTGATGTGGGGAACATTCATGTGCCGGAAGCCCTTGGGAATGGTGCCCAGGATGGAGAACCTTGGCTTGGTGCGCGAGTGGCGGTTGACCAGGTATGAGATGAGCGTGTACAGCAGAATGACGAATGCTGTGCGCAGAGTGCTGAGGAAAAAGAACAGGCGCTCCCTCTGGGGCCAGCGCTTGCCAGCAGCCCTTACACCCCCACCTGATCAGGTAGAGGAGGAACAGCGCGGTCAGGCCAACCGCGGAGTTGATGTCGCATGACTTGATGTGCTTGAAGAAGTTTCCAAACACCAGATACGTAGGTGCACGTGTGTTGTACGATTTGACAGAGTTGTTTCCCAGCAAGGCCGGTACCTGACCCATGGCGATGTTGAGAGCCGAACCGGTCATGAACGCAGCAATCGCGGGGAGCGGAATAAAGTCAACAATAAAGCCAAGACGCAAAAGGCCGAGCGCGGTCACAATGCAGCCTAGAACCACTGACATGCAGCCAGCAATTATCCAAGGTGTGTCTTTATATTGCGGCAGCTGCGGCAGTACGTCAGTCAAAATGTTGCCCAAGAGCGTCGACATCACAGCAACAGGCCCGATTGTAATGTCCTTGCTGGTGGCAAACATAAAGTACAGCGCACAGCCAACGAACGACGAGTAGAGACCAAACTCGGGCGGCAGCTGGGCCAGCTTGGCATAGGCCATGCCCTGCGGAATGACCACAACACCGACTGTAAGGCCAGCAACTGCATCGCCAAGGAACCAGGTCCAGTTGTAGCGGTAGATCCAGGTCATGATCGGGAACAGCGACTTGGCATAGTCCACTGACGATTGTTTTGAAGGCACGACATTGTCCTTCAACCACTTCTTGGTTGATGCACGCGGCTCGACGTAGTTCACAGTCGGGCCAGTAGCCGGCTGGCTGGAGACGGACATGGGAAGGGGGCGGGGATTGCCAAAGAGATGAGACACTAGTATTAAGTGGGTGCTGGAAAATGGAAGATAATGCTAATTATGCGCTAGCAGATAGCAGGACTGGGCGGAAAAGAAAGCTAGTAAGGCGTGGAAACATGGCTGCTGGCTGCAGTAGAACCCGGAATTTATAGGGAGGCAAATATAGAACAGCGATGGCCAGGAGGTGAAGAATATGTTTTTTACGCCTCTGGTTGCTTTACCCCGCCTAGATCAGTCGCTGGGTGACCTGTCTGATTGTGCTTGTCTACATTTTCCACATAGAAAAGGCCATACGTTATGTAAAGATCGACTCTACCACGAACGGAAGGATGGACCTGGGGAAGGACACATCCCTCACCCGCTCCCAGCAAAGAAAAAACTGCTAAACGTCAATAAGCCATTGCGTGATTGAGAGGAAGATGATGCAAATTGGGCCCCTCTTTGGGAACTAGCAAACATAGGCGGAAAGTACGAACGGCGTGTGCTGAATTGGCCAGATTGTCGCCATGCACATTATTTGATATGCAATATTTTTAACTTGAGGTGGGCAGTGCCAGGGCAGCAAAATATTAGTGCGGATTGTATCAGCAGAAAAAACCTCCCACCCGCAGCAGTTATTGCTGTGGAATAAAAACACAACCATGTATACCCATGGCAATGACATCACACAAAAGTGATGTGCTCGGCCCTCGCTGTCATAAGGGTTAAGCGTGATGCTTGAGGATTCCAATAGCAACAAGCGAGATTGGTAAGCTCAGACAGCAAGTAGCGCAAAATTCGCTTTTTAGCGCATGTGACGTCTACGATAGAAGGGCGCCCAGTTTCTTCTACAACCCACATTCCATTTTGCTCATGTGTGCATGCGGGGTGAAGTGCACACCCACATGAGTTCGGTGCACCGAAAAGAGGCGGTCATAATGGAAAGCATGCACGCATTTTGGACGAATGAGGCTTGCTCACTGGTGCTCGTGCACTCAGCCCGTACTCTAACATGCAGATACTAGTGCCCAGACATGCAGATAGAATTTAGCTCCATCATGCACGAATGGGAAGCGGGAACCCAAGAAACACAGCAAAAATCTCCATCAACGTACTCGACACTATTTTAAAATACATTCACACCACATCCACGGAGCACCATGACCTGTAGCTGGTAGGTTGCAAATTTATATATTGCCAGACTCGCGATGTCGCGCAGACGCAGCCGAATCAAACACAACAATATCCCAGGGCATATTCTCCAGAGTAGGCGGTGTAAATACAGCTGGCGGCGGCACTATGCCCATACCACCCGTGCGCGTAGATGCTGCGAAGCTACTCGCCTGGGACACGCGCCGCTTGGACTCCGATCTTCTCACATACCATGACATCCACCAGCTCACTACCAGTTGCTTGACATCAGGCTCAAGGCATAGCGCCAACAGAGTGAAAATTCCTTGCATTGCCAGCATCACCTGCATGGCGACATACAGGCGCTTCAGATCGGCTGTGCCTTTAGCTACCCCTGAATGGAGAATCGGCATGATGCGCATTAGCGTTGTTGTAGCCCAGGCAACCTCCAGTGTATGGCAGGCGATGATGGTGGCAGGGAACTGGGCAACTCGCCGGAGAACCTTGTTCGCCAATGCCCAGAGTTCACGCCGCTCGGCGCCCCATCGTGCAAATACCAGCATGTACTCTGCGCCATCGGATCCCTTGCTCTCAAGCTCATCTGGATGCGGCTCGGGCATTTCACGTTCATGCTGTGTATCAATCATCTGCTGGTGCTGAGAGATCAGCCGAGATGTCCGCTGGCGGTCGCTCCACAGGCGCCAGATCACTACGGCTACAACCATGATGCAGTAAGCGACAGTTAAAGCGACCCAGGCGAAATAAGTGGCCCAGCACCACAGCAGCCCAGAAACAACAGCCCGTCTCGCCTCATCCTCTGGCATTGAATGTGCTGCGTAATCGCGCGGGACCGATTCCAGAGAAAAATATGAACAGTGGCCAGAGCCTAGAGTCGGATCGAACGTGATCCACGCGTACGAATATCTGGTCAGCGGTAATAAAGCCAGCGCCAGTGCTACAAAAAAAGCGCTTACCATGAATCTCGTCTCGTAAGCTACTGCACGACTAACTCTGTACACAACGACCATATGCACATGGACACTCAACAATGCCCGAGTGAACACAGACAACAGCGCAAAGAATGTCATGCCAAACATAGCGGCCTGGCAGTTTTGCTCGCTGTCGCTGCGTGTATTCGATTGACTGATGGCCATGTTGTATATCCTGAACCCACTATACAGAATATCGATGATAGATGCCAGCATGATTACGCGCTGCGAGATCGGCTGTGCACTCCACCTCTGTTTATACCCATGGTGACGTTTGCGCAGAAATATGAGGATTGTGATGCTGAGGATACTGCTGACGATGCTGAGTGCATTCAGGGATAGTAGGATATCAAACGCAATGGGGCTGTACAGCTCTTTGGTGCCTGATCCGCCAGAGGCGATCGGCGTGTGGAGGAGCGGGTTGAAGGGGTTATCTTTCGCTTGGTCAATCGCCATGGACATCGTCAGCATGTAGGTGGCATGTGGGAAAGCGGATATCCTTTGATATGATTTTGAATGGGCTATATCAAAATGGAAAAGGAAAGGAAACAAAACGAACAAGGAAAGCGTGCGTTGGTAGCAAACTTTGCATGCTCGGACGACTATCCATTAAAGGGCAGGCAGCGGCGAAGATAATTTTTCGTGTGCTACTGTGGCACCTCACATTCCTTATTATGTATGGCGTTGCAATTCGTCAATCTACACAGGGCGTGCGCCATCATCAGTGGACAAGAGCTTTGAAATACTTGGGTATTACATTGACCGCTGGTGACAACTATATGCGGACATATAGCCCATTAATTAAAAAACATTTTACGGCCAGCATATAGGCGCTGAGGGAGATGGCTGTGCTCTAAGAGGTCCAGAAAATAATTGGGAGCACTGTTTCAAGCATGGTCTGCTCAGCGATTCAGATCTCATTAATATAAATCACGTGCAACCATAAATTCACAGGAATGCACGTATGTACAAAAAATAAGATATTGATGCTGCCGAGTCCGAAAACATTGGATTCACCAGCTAACCACTCCATCACCTCAGTATTTTCTATTCTTTTTTCAACACCAATGGCAAGTGCCGCTGACAATATGGATTCCGTGCTGGATTTGCTCACGCAGCAAACTGTTAAATCAACGCACGCGCTATTCAACGGATCCACCAACAGTAAGGCCGAGGGTACAGCGCAGGCACAAAAGATTGGTGTCTCGACCCGGTATAGGGCCGAGTACCTTGCATCGCGCGAACTTCCACACGGCATGCTTACCCAGGAGCAGCAGCAGCAGCAGCAGCAAAGCACGTTGGAAGGTTCAGAACAGCCAAGTGGAGGCTTGCCACTAGCTAATAGCAGGCCAGGACAGAAGCTCCTTACAGCTGCTGGCGAACAGCGCTTGCTTGGATCGCTTACTACGGACGTTGAGGACGATGTGCAAAAGGTACTGGATGGGCTATCTGGGAGGCATTTAAAGTCAAAATCAAAGAAGCCGAAGAAACCGACGCGCGACTTGGTACTGGCAGCGGCTGCCAAAGCGCAAGTCGACAGCTTGCCGCCACCACCAGGCCAGCAGATTGTCCGCAAGCGCGCCTATGAGCCTGTGCGCCCTACATGGCATGCACCGTGGAAGCTCATGCGCGTGATTAGTGGACACATTGGCTGGGTGCGTGCTCTGGCGGTTGAGCCCGGAAACAAATGGTTTGCGTCGGGATCCGTTGACCGTACTATCAAGATTTGGGACCTAGCATCCGGTACACTGAAGTTGACACTGACTGGGCATATCTCACCAGTGCGTGGACTGGTTGTGTCGGCCCGGCACCCTTACTTGTTCTCATGTGGCGAGGACAAGCAAGTCAAATGCTGGGACCTTGAGACGAACAAGGTTGTGCGCCAGTACAACGGACATCTGTCTGGCATATATTCCATGGCCCTGCACCCAACACTGGACCTTTTGGTTACCGGCGGACGTGACTCGGTGGCTCGGGTGTGGGACATGCGCACGCGCCGGCAAGTGCACCTCTTGTCGGGCCACACCTCGACCGTCTCGGCATTGCAGTGTCAAGAGGCGGATCCGCAGATTATCTCGGGATCGATGGACTCAACTGTGAAGCTGTGGGACCTAGCGGCGGGAAAGTCGATGGCTACGCTGACGCACCACAAGAAGTCTGTGCGTGCCCTGGCCCTGCACCCAACTGAGTTTGGGTTCCTGAGCGGCAGCTCAGATAATATCAAGCAGTGGCGGTGTCCTAGGGGCGATTTCGTGCAAAACTTTGAGGGGCACAACTCGATCGTCAACACTCTGTCGGTCAACCACGACGGGGTAGTGTTCTCGGGAGCCGATAATGGATCGATGCGCTTCTGGGACTGGAAGTCTGCATATTGCTTCCAGGAAACAGAGACCGTAGCCCAACCCGGGTCGCTTGACAGCGAGGCAGGAATCTTTTGCTCAACATTTGATCGCACTGGGTTCCGGCTTATTACTGGAGAGGCAGATAAGACCATTAAGATCTGGAAAGAGGACGACGAGGCTACGGAGGAGTCGCACCCAGTTGATTTCAAGCCATCGTTGACGCGTCGTCGGTACTAGCTGCAGCTTCTTCTTACACCAGAATGATGTGCCTGCTTGATACAGTCAATAACTGCCAATGTCCACTGCAATGCCATAGCCAGATTTGCTGTCGTTTTGTATCTTGAAAACAGTCGCATTCTGTGCAAGATTGAACTCGTCTCATTTATTAACATTTGGATTCCATATCACTAGGGTATCATGCTCAGCGGTGACAGGGTCCAACCACCAGCTTGCTTAAAAGTAGAGCCCTGCGAGCCGGATTGCTGTATATACTGCCAGTATCCCGCTTAGGCTGGCACTTTTCTATGTTGATATGTGAAGTGACATCGAGCGTTCAGCAATTAAAGCACAATTTAGTTTGCCGGTTTCAGGAAAGCAGCAGTGACATCGTGGCCAGCAACAAACGCTTGCTCGACAAGGAGCTTTCCCGACACCGAGCCCTGCTGGACATTAGCAAAGCTGTTTGCAGAAACCCACTGGCGAGGCGCGGCCTGCAAGCGAACGGCATTGTTCGACTCTGTCTTGCCATCAACCTTTGTTGCAAACAAAGGTGGCAGATGGACGGGCTCGGCAAACCTATGCTTGCGCCCCGGAATGCACTCGCCATTGGCGTTTCCGCCCCATGCCATCACATCATATCCAAATACCGGCGTCTTGCTGACCGAGCTGCCCGACTTGTCCTCAGCGACATTCGTCTGGTTGTCGCGCACAGCCACGACGTGGTCATTGGCAGCCGACAGTGTGCGAATGGCGATGGGTCTGCGGGTCTGCGTGATACTGTCGAATT